TTCTCAGGATCTCAACTTTCCGACATAAAATTGAAGATGTTTAGGCAGTGGAATTGAGGAGCATACAGTTGAAGATCCTCGAAAAAGCGTTCCTCAATCGAGGATAAACCCTAAGGGTGTGAGCGCTTGATTCCTTCCACATACCTTCCATGGTCTCCACGAACAGATTGAAGCTCCTCACCGGCGGGATGTAGAGCGTCAACGGCACCGCTGAAAACGCCACCGCGAAGAACAAGTGCAGCATCTCTGATGATTCCGGCCAACGCCGACTCAACCAAATAAGCTGCTCCTCTTTTTTTATTTTGCTTTCTTTGCAGAAGATAGATAACTCTTTTCTTTCTGTATATTAATAAATTTTGGGGCAGTTTGGTAGTGGAAAATGGATAAAGATCGGTCTTTTATTTTTTTTTTTATTTTTTTTTTTTGAGTGATGAATAAAAATATGACTGCCTAATTAAATTTAGTGGTAAAGGTTTTGGAGGATAAAGTGGACGACTATATCAGCGTGGGTGAGCAGCCAGAGCTCGTGTTGATTGATATATCTATCCACGAATCCTTTTAATACAAGGAAAATATTTTGTGGGGCCCTTTTATGTCGAGAAATTTCTTGAATGTGCCCCTTCGACATAATAATAATGCTAAATATATTGTGAATTTCTCCGGTAAAGATTGGATTTTGCGTAAATATTATCATAAATACTTAATTTATAGAAGTTACTTGAATATAAAGCGTTATTATTAGTAGGTGTGAGCAAAATCGAGCTGAAAAATTGAACCGAAACGTGCAATTAAGGGTGCGGCTCGGTTCGGTTATTTAAGTGTAACAAATCTTCGATTCTGTTTTTTCCTTCATTAAGGTGCGGTGCGGTTGTAGTTTTTCATGAGTTCGGTTTTTTGTTTTGTCAGTTCGGTGCGTTGTAGTTTTTCATGAGTTCGGTTTTTGGTTTTGTCAGTTCGGTGCTATTTTGTACCGAATCGTATCAAATTGAATAAATTTTATAGCAAAAACAAAAAATCGAGCCGAACCTTGCATTTCAGTGCGGTTCGGTCAGTTCGCTTCGGTTCAGTTATTTTAGTGGAAAAAAATTCCGTTTGGTTTCAGTTTGGTTTTTTCTAAATTGCGTGCGGTTCGTCTATTTACTTATTTATTTTATTTTTGCTAACTTCAATTTTTCGGCTTTTTGTGGTTTGGTACGATTTTTCATCGAACCTCATCGTTGCTCACCCTAGTTATTAGTATGGATTTCAAATGGTCATCGTTGATGTATAATATTTCCTACATATACGACACAAGTGAATAAAGTGGCGTTGTTTTACTACTTTTTATCTCGGTTTTTTTTTAAGCCACTCAATTGTTTTTTTTTTTTTTT